TTTCCTGGATTTAAAGTCCTGATTGGCTTTGAGCCTCTTAACTACTTCTGTCCAACTAGTTCAGGGTTAGTCCAGGGTTCATCTGTAAAATATGCAGAAGCAAAGCTGAATCTTATTTAGTACTGTCCTAAGCACAGATCTGACCTTAGATGCCAATGTTGTTAGGAACGGATGCCTTGCAGTTGTCAAGAGCCCTATTATATACTGCTGCTTTATTTATTTCTTCCTGATTCAGTGGCCAGAGAATCCTTTCTAAGAAAATGACTCCCACCACCAGGCAGCGCCTTGTGAAGAGGCCCGACAGTGTAAGACAGAGTAATCTAAACTCAATCAATCTTATTACTTCTCTTTTTAGCACCACTTCGCTTATAAAAATATAGCTTGAGGTCAGTTCTGAGGCTTAGCAGCTCCCCATGCAGCTGCAGTTTTCTCTGGTGCCTGTAAAAATTGGGGTTACACAGTGCATTTTGACAAACATGGACTAGATTTTTTCTTCCTCGTGTCGCAGTGAAATGGTGCGTAGTGACAGATTGTTTGATTTCTGGCCAATGGAATCCAAGATAATGTAGAGCCCAAATTTTGTCTCATCTTTGTGGCCAATCAGGTATTGTCATGGAGAATGCCACTGCATTCAGTGAGCTATTCAGAACAGGAAGCACTTTGCCTGGTAGCAAGTGCTTGCAGAATTGGGGCCTTTCATTGTTACTTGGTGGGAAGCAGGCTTGTTGATGACAGCAACAGTGGATGGAGGGCCAGGCCCTTCAAACTGTGGCCGGCCATATTGAGGGCTACACCTCACCCCTTCCACGTCCTGGGCTGTTGGCCTTGCTGCTGGGAAGTGTCCCCCCAGAACATGTGTCTCACCTCCTTTTTGTGTATGAGCTCTGGGGAAACTCAGGGATTGATTGTTTCATTTGCTAACTGAAATAAGGTCAGCTGGGAAGCCTGGCAGAACTTCTGGGGTCGAGGGAAGTGTGGAACGGGATGCATGTTAACTCTGTGTCATGCCCTCCCCAGCTATCCAGTCCCCCCAGACCTACTCCACGGGTATGCTGTGGTTTGAGGGGAATGGCCATGGCATTTTTACCCACTGTGCCCCAGGCGTGAAAGAAAGCTGACCCATTTCTTGACATGGCAACCTCCTCCATAAAGGGGTTGCCTCCGTCCTCAAGAGGGCTGTGTGGGAGAGAATTGCTAGGGGAAAGGAGCTTCTGCTGCTGTCCCCAGGCTGCAGGTTTAGCAAGAGGGGAGGTGCGTCACATGGGGGGGGCAAATCCCACCCATAACAGAATAAATTGGCAGGAACTCCTCATGGAAACCTGGTGGACATTCTCTCTCTCGCTGGAATGCATAGGGCCGCCGTTACCGTGGTAGCTAAATGTTCCTAATGTCCTTGAGGGTGCTGTCACGCGCTCCACCAAGCAAACGCAGCTGAGACGTGCTACCCTGTGGCCTTTGCAGTGCCTGTGGCTGCAGCAGCGGGTGGCAGGGAAGTGCTGCAAAAACCAGCATGCTAGAAACAAAGGAGAGTAGCACAAAAGGCTGCCAAGCCTATGCCGAGGGAGTGACGGCTCTCTAACACATACTGCCACATCCTAAAGAGTTCTGTCCCCTTAGGTCCCGCTAGGATAAATTGTCAGTGCTCTGCATGGGGGTGGAATTGTGCCGCTCCCTTGAAAAGGCAATGGGAACTACATTGCGAAAATCCTGTGAACACTCTGAAAAGATGCCCACAGTTTCTCCAGACAGCTCTCTGACTGCCTCCTCCCCCTCCTATTTTCCCCTGCAGTTTATTTCTCTGGGAGGAAGGGGAAATAAAAATCTGGAGCAAAGTAGAAAAGGCTCAGGCACATGAGCTGGGCCTGCCATATGCATTGCTTTAGGATTGCGTGAGGATACTATTGAATAGAGAGAGGCACCCTGATATTATTGGGAGGAGCACCAGTGGTCCTCTATATTGTTACCTAACACTTTCCATGAGAGACATTCTTTTTTTTATTCTTTTTTTTTGAAAGCTCTATGGTTTGCAGCATGAATTTGAAACTTGGCAGAGGGCTTGTCCTGGAGTCAGGGAGAGGCCTTTTGCCATCCCCCATGAAAATGCAGCCAGATCTGGACTGTATAAAATATGCATCAATTTTAGTTAGAATGTATTGCAGTGTTCAGGCCGAATTCTCATTTACCTTGAGGCTTCTTGATAATGCTCTGACAATGTGAAGATGCCTTAAAGTGGGCATAAGAGCTCCTTCATGCTGCCAGAGCAATGGAAAGGAGTCTTAGTGTAAATGAGGTAAGTTGGAGGGCCTGATTGTCTGAGTACACACAAATCTGGGAAAGTTGCATTATCCCCATTTTACAGATGGGAAGACTGAGGTGTGGCGCAATGGTCCCAAGGTTGCAGAGCACATCAGTGGCAATGTGGGGGAGAGATCTCCTGGTTCTCATCCCCATTCCATCTCTTCTGATGTATCAGATAAAGTGAAAGTGTTTTTCTCCAGAGCCTTTCCAGACATCTTTCTAGTATGGAAGGATAGAGGGGGGAGGTGAGATTTTTTTGGGGAAAACTGATGGCTTGTGACTATGGTAAGATGTTTTCCAAAGAAGAAACAATTTACAATAATTAGAAATGTATAAAATGTCTTTAAACATGGTAGTAAAAGGGATAAGAAACCACTTGCTGCAGTGTAATCAGTTATTAGCAGCTGATCAATTATCTCCATGGATGGTTGCTGCTGGTACATGAGGCACGTAATAATAGGACTCTTGATTAACTAATTTGAATATCTTTTGAGAACAAATTCGAACTCTCTTTTTTCTCCATTGTAACGGATCTGTACATCTGCGAGATAAATACGGAATGAATATGGTAATGAATATTATTCTGTAAATGTAGCCCGAGAACACTCCCATCATCATTACAGCTCTGTCGTCGGGAGCTGCGGTAATAGATCTAATAATAAAGAGGGCTAAATGAGGGGAGGAATCTGTGACGGGAGGAACCAAGGTGCATCTTTCCCTGCAGAAAGAGCAGCCTATACCTTAGGAAGTAGAATAATATGTTGTCGGGAGGAAGGGGAAGTGTGGCCGTAATTCATGGAATTGCCCAGCTATGTCCGGTAAAGTGACATTGTAGGGCTTGTTTTGTCTGATCTGTTTGCAGGGGCATTGTGTTGAGGCCAGTGAGTCCTTCAGATGTGGAATTGATGATTTTTTGCCATACTATGTTGGATAGGGATCCAGAATAACAACCAAACTGACATGTAATCCCATTGTTCATACCTAACCAAAGGCACCAGTTGGGCCTTATTCTAACCTTTCAAGATGAGGTGCTCTCTTCCTAAACAACTCCATCCAGGAAGCCTAATTCCACCCTGGCCTGCCTCTTGTGTCATCTCTGAGACCCGTGCAGAGTGGGTGTAGAATGGCGTTGAATCAGAATGGTAGAGTCTCGGGTTCATTCTACACAGGTGTAATTGCTACACAAAATTGCCTGCTGCTGAAGCTGCATATACTTTGCCTGGCATTTTGACCTCCCAATGCACTTGCTGTATAAAACAGAGCAGGGCAGGAAAGCTCAAGGACCTGAAAAATACCGAGTGACTGTTTTATAGTGCGTGAGCCTTGGCAGCCACCTGTAAGTTCGCCCATTTCTGTGCGGTGCCGGAGTCCCCCACGGGCAGCTATCCATGTAATACGCTAGATAGCATCGCTTGATATTTTTGAAACACTGTCTTTTCATATCTCCACTGGAATGGAAATCTAACACGTGTCTGGAATTTCAGCCCGCTCAGAGATCCCATTACAGCCGTTTTGATAAAGCACTATAAACCCAGATTCCATTTTAGATTATAAGATCATATCGCTTATGTTTCAACAAACTGTGAGCTAAGATTATTTGTTTCACAAGGTTCTGAATGAATAGCTGCTGCGTGGCCCACTGATTCTTTTCACTGTAGATTGGCCTGAACCGATCAGTGGCAGGGCCTGGTGAAAATTATCGACAGCAAATGCACTGCAGGAATTAAGAAGGCGCTCTACTTTTTTTTTTTCCAAGGACTTTGGTTCTTATTGTATTTCTGTTTTGCTTACATGTGAGAAGTGGGATACAAACTTTGGCAAATCTTCAGCAAGAAAGGCCAAATTTTTAATTCCTGGTTAACTGGTGTAAATATGGAATGACTCCAGTGAACTCGTTGGATGGGCAAGAGATCAGAATTTGGGCCACAAATTCTTCATTTACTTTATAAAGCACAACCTGGACAATGAAATCAGATGAATAAGAAAAAATGAAATCTGTTTTCCATTACATCCATTGGAGCCAGCTAGGATTCATGAGTATGACACATAGCAGACCTGGGCCCAACAAACTCTTTATTTCTGAGGGGGAGTAGAGAGTGATTCATGTCTGACAGATAAAACAAAAATAATAATAAGTCCTATGGCACCTCAGAAACTAACAGATTTATTAGAGGACAAGCTTTCGTGGCTAAAATTTATCAGGTGAATTTGGAGTGGAGTTTATAGAAGCATAGATATGTATAGGCAACAAAAGAAATAGAGTACTTGTATAAATTAAGCTAATCAAGTCAGGGTGGAAGTGGCTTCTTCATAGCAGTTGTTGTGGAAATGTGGACATCAAGAGAAGGGAAATTGCCTCTTTTGCCCCTTTGTAATATGTTAACTAGTTAAAATCCTTAGGATTGATCCAACTCCCACTTAAGTTAGTGGGAGCCTTTGTGGTGACCTGAGCAAAGTTGCACCAGGCTCTCTCAAAGTAACTGGAGCACAGCTCCTGCCACCTGTGAAATGAGTCAAACTTCTGCTTGCACAAAGACCAAAAGACTTTGCAGCGTTTAGCGCTCTGGAAACTGTCCGTCATGGCTGGTGGCTTTGATTTCTCTCTGCTGCTAAAGTGTTAACAACAGAGTTTAGACAGACATGATGTTTTGCAGAGGATTCTGATAGATCAAAATTTGGTTTTGTTCCTATTTCCAGTAAAAAGCCAATATTCCGAAAGTCAGACCTTAGAAGCATCGGGGTGTCCTAGACTCTGGAGGCCCTGAGGTCTCTGGCACAGTTTGCCTGGCAGCTGCCCAGCCGTCACAAACCATGGAAGAAGACCTGAGCTTATCCATGAGCCAGGTAGGTTTCTGGCAAGCAGGTTCCATTCCAGTGGGGAATGGGTTCCATCAGAACATAGCTGAGAACAAATCATCGTCATGGGATGTTCATGTTTCAACCCATTTGGCAAATTGTGATGAAAAAAATGGTTTTGTCTGGGCCAGTTGTAATATATAATCCATAAATTGCCTAAGAGCAGGGGGAAGGGAAGGAACCCTGACCAGAAAGCATTTCAAGTGGCCTTGGAAATTCGAGGGCCAGAAAAGTTTCTCACCTCCTGTGTTTCCTTTTTGTCCCTTCTGCTTTGAGATTTCAGCTTTGCTAGAGCTGATTGAAAGTTTCCCATCAAAACAAATTTACCCTGGAAAATGGCTTTTCAGTTAGATGGAAACTTTTGCTAACAGATTTTATTTTTTCATTGAAAATGTTTATGTTTTTGTCAAACACACCCCGAATTGGATTTTTTCGCTTGTTTTTGGTAACCCACAATATTTGGGTTTAGGGGTTCTATGATGAAAAGGGGAATTTTTTGCAAAGGGAGAAAAAATCATTGAGCCCAAACTAAACTTTTTTGTACAATGCTAACTTTTGATCATGCCAGACAGAGGGCTATTGATTATCATCTTGCTGGG